CACTTGTGCGGATAAGGCCCACAAGTTATCATAAAGTCTCCCCATTGCAATTGGATTTTGGTCAGGAGCCAAATATTTCCCATCTTAGGATCTTTGGTTGTGCAATATATGTTCCAATTGCTCCACCACAATGCACAAAGATGGGTCCTCAAAGAAGGTTGGGGATATATGTTGGATATGAATCTCCTTCTATTATAAAACATCTAGAGCCGATGACGGGAGATTTATTTACGGCAAGATTTTCTGATTGTCATTTTGATGAATCAGTATATCCAACATTAGGGGGAGAAAACAAGCAGCTGAAAAAGAAGATAGATTGGAATGCATTATCACTGTCTCATTTAGATCCTCGAACAAATCAATGTGAACAAAGGTTCAAAAGATTATTCATTTGCAAAATATTGCAAATCAATTGCCTGATGTATTCACTGACCTACCAAGGGTGACTAAGTCACATATTCCAGCTGCTAATGCTCCAATTCGAGTTGATATCCCGGCCAGACAATTAATTAAAGCAAATGAGTTTAAGCCATGTTTGAAACGTGGTAGACCAATCGGTTCTAAAGATAAAAATCCTCGAAGAAGAAAATGAGCAAGTGATCAAAGTGAACATAACACAGAGGTAGTGGCTCAAGAAGAGCCCCAAGACGTAACAAATGATAAGACCTTAGGGGAGGTCCAGGTACCTGAAAATAATGAAAATGAAGAGATATCAATAAGTTACGTCTCAACCGGGAAAAGATGGAACCGAAATAATATTGTTATCGATAACATTTTTGCTTATAATGTTGCTGTTGAAATAATGCAACAAGATGAGGATCTTGAACCAAAATCTGTCAATGAATGTAGACAGAGAAATGATTGGCCAAAATGGAAAGACGCTATCCAGGCAGAGTTAACTTCACTTGGAAAACGTGAAGTCTTCGGACCCATAGTTCGAACACCTGAAGGCATAAAGCCAGTAGGGTATAAATGGGTTTTTGTGCGAAAACGAAATGATAAAAATGAAGTCGTTAGATATAAAGCACGACTTGTGGCACAAGGGTTTTCCCAAAGGCCTGGAATTGATTATATGGAGACATATTCTCCTGTAGTGGATGCTATCACCTTCAGGTATCTCATAAATATGGCAGTGCAAGAAAAACTTGATATGCATCTAATGGATGTTGTTACAGCCTATTTGTATGGATCATTAGACAACGAAATTTTTATGAAAGTACCTGAGGGATTTAAAGTGCCAGAAGCATATAAAAGTTTTCGAGAAACTTGTTCAATAAAGCTTCAGAAATCTTTATACGGATTGAAACAATCAGGACGTATGTGGTACAATCGCCTGAGTGAATACCTGTTGAAAGAAGGGTACAAGAATGATCCAATTTGTCCTTGTGTCTTTATAAAAAGGTCTGGATCTGAATTTGTTATAATCGCCGTGTATGTTGATGATTTAAATATCATTGGAACTCCTGGGGAGCTTCCAAAAACAGTAGACTGTTTGAAGAAAGAATTTGAAATGAAAGATCTTGGAAAGACAAAATTTTGTCTTGGTCTACAAATTGAGTATATGAAAGATGGAATATTTGTCCATCAATCAACATACACCGAAAAGATTTTAAAGCGATTCTATATGGATAAAGCACATCCATTGAGTACCCCGATGGTTGTGAGATCACTTGATATAAAGAAAGATCCATTCCGACCTCATGAAAATGATGAAGAGCTTCTTGGTGCCGAAGTACCATATCTTAGTGCAATTGGGGCATTAATGTATCTTGCCAATAATTCCCGACCAGATATAGCTTTCTCAGTAAGCTTATTGGCAAGATTTAGTACTTCGCCAACACAAAGACACTGGAATGGTATTAAACATATATTCAGATACCTCCAAGGGACCATTGATATGGGTTTATTTTATTCAAATGAATCCAAGCCATCATTGATTGGTTATGCAGATGCAGGATATTTGTCTGATCCACACAAAGGTCGATCTCAGATAGGCTATTTATTTACAAGTGGAGGTACAACCATATCATGGCGTTCGACAAAACAAACTATGGTTGCTACTTCTTCAAATCATGCAGAGATAATAGCCATTCACGAAGCAAGTCGAGAATACCTTTGGTTGAGATCAATAACTCAACACATTCAGCAAACATGTGGTCTTTCTTCAAAAGAAAATATTCCAACAATATTGTATGAAGACAATGCTGCATGCATAGCTCAATTGAAAGGAGTATATATCAAAGAAGATAGAGCAAAACACATTTCACCGAAATTCGTTTTCACTCATGATTTTCAGAAGAATGGTGAAATAGATGTACAACAAGTTCGTTCAAGTGATAATTTGGCTGATCTGTTCGCTAAGGCATTACCAACCTCAATATTTGAAAAGCTGATATATAAGATTGGAATGCGTCGTCTTCGAGACATTAAGTGATTTTTCATCAGGGGGAGTAACTATATGCTGCACTCTTTTCCTTAACCAAGGTTTTGTCCCACTGGGTTTTCCCAGTAAGGTTTTTAATGAGGCAGCAAACAATGCATAAAATAAATAACTATGTACATCCCAATATTTTTTTTTGTAAGTTCTTAATGAGGCACATTATCTTATATGGACATCCAAGGGGAGTGTTATAAATAGTTTGTACATTGGATGCTACATTGGATGTTCATGTTGTGAATAACATAGTTTGTACATTGGATGCTACATTGGATGCCCATGTTGTGAATAGCTTAAAGATTAAATCTCCTACTTTATGTCCATCATCTTTACTTTTTATGCCTATAAAAGGCTATGTAATTGCAATAGAAAGATACCAAAGTGAAAGAAGAAAAGACTTCTTCCTTCTTTCTATCTCTTCTTATTTATATTTTACTGCATTGCTTTTATTTTATAACAGTTGTTAATTTAAAATGAGGAAAAGTTGGTCAAGACATATTATATTAGTCAGAGGACAACACTAGCTCATCGAACAACTAATTCTTAGACCAAAAAATGAAAGCAGTGGCAGCAAATCATGAAAATACCAAGAAGCTATAGGTACAGAAAGTGCTAAGACCTTCAGCTGTTGAAGCATTCTCCATGTCATCTGTCGAAATAACTGGATCCATTTGTTTCTTTACTAAAGCTTGCTTTTTCTTCAGCTTAAGCTATCAAAAAAGGTGTAATTAAAAAAATAGTAAACTAACTGAACAGATAATCAAAGGAACTAAAAGCTATCAAGCAGTATCAATTATGACAAATTTTTCTGGTTATCTTACCCGAGTCTCTATGTTACATACAAAAGGGCACGAAGGGCAAAAGAATCTGGCTGGACGATCCATATGAGGCAACTCATATTGCAGTAACATTGAACAATCTGGGCAAAACTCCATTTGCAGCTAGCTTTCTTTCCTTGCAAAGACCTAAATTAGAGGTTCAAAGATTGCCTAAAATAAATAATCCGTCCTTTCTAATTTATGTGATACTCTTTTTATTGACCACACTAATAGCCCCGTTTGGCAAGCTGTAAAAATTAATTTATTTTGGGAATTATTTTTTTTCAAAAATGTTTTCTCAAAAGTTCTTTGCGCGAGAAGCAGTTTGATTTTGGCTAATTAATTTGAAAATCACTTCTGAGCAACAATTAGTGTTCGGCCAAACTTTAAAAAACTGTTTCTAAGTGTATTTTTCTCAAAAGTACTTTTCAAAAAAGTGTTTTTTAAAGAGAAGCTACTTATTTCTGCTTCTACTTCTCTCAAAAAATACTTTTTTTCCTTTCAAAAACTTGGCCAAACACTTTAATTTTAGAAAAAAAATAGTTTTGACAAAAAAAAAAAAAGAAGTATTTTTGCCTCTAAAGAAACTTCGGCCAAATAGGCTATAAGTCCGACATGGTATCAAAGTAGGTAGAGCTTCAAAGATCGCCTAAAATAAATACTCCGTCCTTTCTAATTTATGTAACACTCTTTTCATTAACGACAGTACAATAAATCAGACATGGTATGAAAGTAGGGCAGAGGTTCAAACTCCCCAATATCTGAACCAATCTTTTTATATATAACTTTCAAGAAGTCAATGTTTTGAACATTATAAACTTTGATGTGATGTTCTCTTTCGCAACTTTCAAGAAATCTTTTGAGCTTCGTTCACCACCCACCTGATCCAGCCTAGAGACTACCGTACCTAAAGGGCAAAAAATCAATTCTTGATTCACAAGGCCAACAAAATCTTCTAAATTTTACAATCTGTGAAAAGGAAGCAGTGAAATAAATAAAAGTTTAATTTTTCAGACAACATGGCACACAAAGTTCATCGTATTTCAGCATATGGGCTTTTGAAATTCGGGTTAAACAAGAAAAGAAACAGAAACGATTCAGCTTTTCTCATCACATTAGTGATTTTAGACTGTCACCATCAATATGAACAAAAATCAATTCTTTATCAGCGGACCAACAATTTGGTACCTAACAACTGAAAAACCCTTAGTTTCAAAAAAATCAGCATATGGGGTTCGGAATTTGCATTAAACAATAAGAGAAAACAGAAAAAGATTCAGGCTTTGTTAATCATATACGTGATTTTAGCAGTATGACCAGAGAAAAATCAATTCTTGATTCAGAGAACTAACAAAAAAAATTCCTCAATTTGGTGAACTGATTGAAACCATAAACTGTGAAGAGAGAAGCAATGAAATGACAGGGGAGAGCTTACCTCAAAAGTAGGTCTGTAATGGTGTCAGAATGAACGGCTGTTGCAGGGTTTTAGCCTTAGGTTTGAGTTATAGGGGGAAAAGATACAGGGTCTCGGGCAAATTTGGCATTTAGTTATAACGCATTAATAACCGCGTTATACCATACCTTGTACCCTCAATAAATACCCTCTTCTTCCTAAACCTGACGGTTCCCTCTCCCTTTTCCAAAATAATTTTCGCCATTAGAACCCACAAGGCTAATTTGTTTTCAAAAAACACAAAATTCAAAGTATATTTGTGGCATAAAACAAGATTGGAGGTGGAGTTGCAAGAAAAAGGAGGTCTACATTCACATTTAAAGTTTTCAAAAAACTTCAAAATATAGGTATTTGGCAGAAACTTTTTTTGTATAAATTGTATACATTATGTGTATTACATTTATATTAATTAATGCCTACGTAATTTCGAATATCTAGTGGAACTCGAATTTTTTCTACTATTTTTTAAATTCCAGAAATTAAAAATTTAGGATTATTTTTCTGCTTTTTTAAGTTCAATTTTTTTTTAAAAAAATAGGTGATTTATAATTCTGTGTAATTTGTGATATTTTATGGTATTTGTCATTTTTTTTTTAAAAAAGAAATTTTTCTAGAATTTACGGTATTTATTGATTTTGTTAGATATTTTATAATTGGAAAAATTTCTGAATTTTATTGTTTATTAATAATATTGAACTTATTTCTGTAATTGAATTTAAACAATTGTATGTTAAATACTGAACAATAATTATTTGCGCCCCATAACGTAGCCCTTTGTTGTATTTCGGTTGCTGAACTAAAAGTATGATAATAATATACTTATCAATCAAAGTACAATAAGTTAAACAAATAACATATCTTAGGATTATATGATTGTCCAATAAAAGGTTGAATAGTTGTCGGTATGAAGGAGACTGCCAATTTTTTGACGTGAAATCCAAAAAACTAACGTATAAACCGTTACGAATTAAATAAATAGTAAAAAATACTTCGTATCAAATTAACTAATAAAAAATTTCAAGATATTTTGATAAGTTAAACAAGTAAAATATTTTAGTGTTCTTTGACTAACGAATAAAAAATTGCACAGTTGTTAGTATAAAGAAGATTTTGCCGAATTTTTATTGTTAAATCAAAAATACTAATATATAAACCATTATGAATTAAATAAACGATGCATGATACTTCATATCAAATTAGTTAATAAAAATATTTCAAGATATCCCGATAATTAAAAAAAATAAAATATTTTAGGATTCTTTTAAATGACAATAAAAATTTGAATAGATGTCAATACAAAGGTGAATATGCCGACTTTTTGTCGTAAAATCTAAAAACCAATGTATATAGCGTTATGAATTAAAAAAGGAATAAATAATATTCCATATCAAATTAACCAATTAAATATTTTAAGATATCCCGAAAAGTTAAATAAATAAAATATTATACAGTTCTTTGACCGATGAATAAAAAATTTGGATAGTTATCAGTACAAAGATTACTCTGCCGAATTTTTAACGTCAAATCAAAAAACTAACGTATAAATCGTTATGAATTAAATAAAGGATAAATATTACTGTTTAACCAAAAATATGAATTTCGATCAAAACTTTATTTTAGAAGAACTCGGGTTACTGATAATTAAAAAATAAAATGAATAAAGGAAATTGATTTTGATAATAATAAGATGAACAGAAGAAAGCAAAGTAAATCAGTATATTCCGATGATATTTTGTATCCTTACAGATGATCAGTCTTCTCCTTTTATAGATATTTCAAGGTAATACGTTTCGTTTCTACCATAATTGAGCCATTATTATCTATGAATGACATTTAATGATATTTAATGTAACGTTATAATCAGCAATCATATTTGATTCAATACAGATTCCTTAACGTTTTCTGTATGTAATGCCCAATAGTACGTATCTATACCTTATTTACTATCAGATTCATTCACTTCCATCATAAAAAGGCTCAAGTATCTATCTTCATTGCTTTTTCTCTAAACATCTGCCCGTGCCCGTTAAAGCTCGTGCTTGTTGAAGCTCGTGCCTTCTTTGATTATTTTTCATTACTTATTCTTCTTTGACTGGTGCACGTGTCATGGCGTGTCATCTTATAATGAATTTCATATATAAACTTAATTTTTCCCAATACAGATAGTCCCCTCACTTGCCATTTATTCATCAATAGAATATTTGGGAAGTGGACCTCATTAAAGCGGGAATATTTGCCGCTATTAATTCTTCTCTGGAACTGATACTTCATCTATCTCTTCCATTTAATGTCCATGACACGTGGCATTTCCTGATTGGCTCTGCAACCTTTCAACGCCTTTTAAGGCTTTTTTACGGCTTCACCAATTACGAGGCGACAATTCTCATTATGACGTTTCCATCATTGCGCATTTTTCTTTGACGGTTGCTTCTGATTATAAATTTAACTTTTTACCTTTGTCTTTTTCACAAAAGTTCAGAATATTCAATTCAAAGTTTATTCTTCCTCGTACTATTATGTCTTCTTCAAACCCTAACCCTCGGAGAGTCCCCATTGTTGACAACCTTTCTCTTGCTCCTATTAGAAGTAGGAGATGAGGAAGGCTTCGTAGTTTAGGGTCTTCTTCATCACGAGTTCCCTCTGTTCCTTCTTCGAGTTCTACTCCTCCATCTAGAACCATAGGTTCTCTTTCTCAAAGGTCTTCATCTAGAGGTAAAGAACCCATTGAACCTCTTCGTGAACCTTTAGTGGATGAAATTGTTCCTGCGGAACTATCTTTCTACAATGATAGAGAATCCCTTAGAAATCAACTGTCTTCATTAGATCGTGCCGATATCTACCCGACTCAAATCACTGAAGGTCTGATTTCAATAGTTCGTAGAGATTGTCATTGGAGCCATGACTTTCCCATTATAATCCCTAATGCAAACCAAAAAATCACCTCTTATTTAACTGGGTTTTCTTTTGTTTACACTTACCCTTTCATGTTGGGTTTTAAGCCTGCTATTGACCCTGTTATACTTGAATTCTATCGTTTTTTGACGTTTACTTAGGACAAATTGGCCCTATTGTGTGGAGGGTTGTTGCCCGTTTGAGGCACTTGACCAACATGGCTGGTGTGCCTTTTACTTTCTCTCATTTAATCCACCTCTATTCTCCAAAGCTCTTTTGCCAAGGAATCTTTACTTTAGTAGCAAGAAGTAAAAGAGTTCTGGTTAACCCAGAAGATGATAAAGATCGTGGCTGGTACGCCAGATTTGTTGCTGCCCCCACTGTTGGTTTAGTGGGTGATAGAAATGTTCCCTTTCTCGAGAAGTAGAATTTTGCACGTGAGTTTTTTTTAACTTTCTCGTACCTTTTTTTAAATTCTGATGATCGCCATTTTAATTTCCTTCCTTTTCTTTTTAGCAACCATGGGAATTATCGATGAGATTTTCAATTTTCGTAGTTGGGTAGAAAAGTTATTACGTATTGCTCCGATGGACGGTAGGTCTTGGAAAAATCTTTCTCATCGATTTGGCTGGAAAGTGAAAACTCACGGTAAGAGTTTTTCTTTTCTTTTCCTACCTTACTTATTGTTTTCTTCAAAAATTATTTTGATCCTTCTTTTTGTCAGGATTTCCCATTCGAGGCGCAAGTGTTGAGGCCGTCGCAGCTTCCAGAATTTCTTTAGATAGGGCCCAAGAGATAATTTTGGGTTCTTCATAAAAAAGGAAGGCTACTGTCGACCAAGACTCTGGGGAGGAAGAAGAACAAGACGGGGGTTCTCTGATAAAAAGGCCAATGGCTAGAAGAAGAATTATTTCAGATGATGAAGCATCTCCCCCTCATTCTATTCCTTCCACTGAGCCTGTTGAAGCCTTGTTGGTGATTTCTGATGATGATACTCCCGCTGCTGCTCATGATTCTGTTGAATAGCTTTTTGCTCGCATGTTTGGTAGTGAAAGTTTAGGGCCAATTTCTAATGAAGCATCCCTTGCTTCTTTTTCTACACCTGTTCCTTTGATACCTTCTTTGCCAGTTGTGACTGTTACCATTGTTGCTCCTCCCCAGGTTGTTTGGACTCCCCAGGCTGTTTTTACTCCTTCTACAGTCCCTCCTTCAACTGTTCCTCCTTCAACTGTCCATTACACTAAGGTTGGTTCCTCGAGCAGAGGTGAAGTTATGAGGCAAGTTACCATCGAAGTTCCTGCTGAGGGTAACCTTTTGAGGAAATCAGGTCGAGCTGGCGTATGGTTGAAACCTTTGATTGGTCCAGTTGAGAGAGATAAGCTTGATAGCCACAGTTCTTTGACCTTGATGAACGATATAGTACAATCTTCTTTAAAGGTAACCTTTTTCAAACTTTTCTTTGCCCTTTTCCTATTTTTAGAGTTCTCACTTTTTCTTTCCTCTTTCTTCCCCTTTTTAGATCAATCTAATTGGTACGGAGATGATGAAGATGGTTTCCCTCTCAGAGCAATTAATGCATGATTACCAAGTGGAAGCGGACAATTGGAAGGAACAATATGAAAGTCTTCAAATCGACATGAAAATATTAGGAGAGAGCAAATGTACCTTAGAGAAGTAGGTAAGGGTTTTAACTTTAGAGTTGCAGTTGAAAAGGCTTCCTCAAATCAAGTTGGTAAGGACAAGAATCTTCTCGAAACCTCTTTTTTCGAGCAACTTTCCAAGGCCAGTGAAGAGATCAGAGAGTTAAAGTCTCTCTTAAGTGAGAAAGAAGTGTATGCCGGTGAACTCGTGCAGACTTTGACCCAAACTCAAGAAGACCTCCGAGAATCTTCTGATAAAGTTTGTTCCTTGGAAAGTTCACATGCTTCTATTCAAACTTCTTATGATTTTTCCTTGGCTAAGAATGAGAAGCTTAAAAATGATGCTTGTCACACCTCCTTTTTGCGCGCCCCGCCACCGAAGGGTTAAATGCGCGAGGGAGTTTTTCCAATTTAAGTGACAATATTCGAAATGAGATTATTTATTTAATTCAGAGTCGCCACTTGGGAAAGGTTTGGCTTTTGGTGTCCCAAGTCACCGGTTTATCTTGAATCCCAAATCGAGGAAATTTTCGACTTTCCAAATGAAGTCTGCAAACCAGAAATTCTAAGTAAGGAATTCTGTTGACCCG